TCTTTAGAGTGTCTTACCACTCTGTAGGTTAGTGACCTGTGAGTGGTTCTGCCACTCCAAAACCACCCAGACTTACAACTGGCCAACACAGGCAAAAGGTTCAACCAGGATTTTTCATATGTTTAATATATAACGTTTCCTTTCTGATTTCTAATAATCTGAAAAGGATACATCCAATTGCGCACGAACTATTCATGTTCAAAGTCTTCATATAAGCACATGCAGCCAAGTTCTTGAAGAACACGTGGCAACACTGCATCCTGCTGTCAGACAGGACTCCAGGTTCAAGCCAGGGCAGGAGAGGGGCAGTGTTCTCACGCCAACAGGCTCAGTCCCTTGGGAAGAACCAGGTCTGGCAGGTCTTTGTGCAACCCGTTCATTCCCAGGATGCAAATGCCACAGCTGAGATGCCTTCATTTGGCCCTCTAACCTTTCATCTGCTCTTGATGAGATACATGCTGAGTACAGAATTACTTCATTAGCTTACAAGCTATTGCATCATTTAGGGCCACTCAATTCAAGGAAGTGGTTATTAAGAACATTTAGAATTAATTTCAGGTGTCTAATGAGTTACACATAGACACCTCTTTACTTAGAAGAAGGGTCTACAAACAGCACATTTCTTGTCTAGAAATCACATAGTGATACTAGCAGACACTTGCTAACAATGTTTTAATGCTAGCCAAGGACAAACAGCTGCAGTTTTAAACTATCTCCATAGCATGGTGCCAGTAATATCTCACTCTGCCCTTCAGCTTCACTGTCTCAATTAAACTCATTGCATTAACCCAAACGTGTCAGGACAGTCCCTCCCCAAAACATGGATTCCTGTGACCAGGTGCTAAACATACCACACTGCCACATCATCTACCAGGGTATTATTTCCTTAGCAAGGCAGAAAAAGCAGCCCACACTGCTGCAGAACCTGTATATTTTACATAGCAACAGAATGTAATTTTAGATGAACATGGAGGTCAGCTGATCTGCTTGGGTCATACACCAGACCTACACTAATTTGTGGTATTACAAGGCCTGTCTTACAACATATTAAAACACCTGGGATAAAAGGAGTTCTTGCCCATGATAAAATGGAGCCTGTGGGCTGTTTCCAAGGGATTAAAGAAACTAAGAACTAATCCAGTCTGCACTGGACTTAAATTTACCAGAAAAATCTTAAAACCGCAAAAAGTCTGGGAAAAACCCCAAACAAGGTAGCTGCAGCCTAAAGCACTAGTATTCTCAACACATATATTAGCTTGATACATAATAACCTAAAAAGATAAATGCACATCCACAACAAAACTGGCTGCACTGGCTCCACAGGAGCACCAGGAGCTGTGTGGTTGCCAGGGCAGGGTATACCGGGTATTTCAGCACACAGATCATCCCAGAGGAAGGACACAGCTAACTGCAGGCCCTAAGCTCTTACTAAAACTGGTTTTGGTGCCTAACATGAGAAAATCACTCTCCTCCTTACTCTGAAATCTGAAAATCGGTAAAGATGACAAGACTGAGCAGTTTGTTGCCCTCCTCACCTTCCCTGCTCCTGACAGCCTGCTCTTGATGGGTTCAAGGGTGCAGGACAGCACTGCCTCCCTGGCCCCACCACCCAACCGGAGGGTGCTGGAGCAGGAACTGTGGGGTCCATGTTAACTTCAGCCCCTCGGTGACCGGTCATCACAGGTCAAGGGACAACACCACCCTGACGCCAGACAGCAACATGCTCTGTACATGAAGTGTCTTCCCCAGGTTTTGAGAGAGAAGGTGGAGTAGGGGGACCGTGTGTTCTAAGAGCAAATTAATACCCTAGAAACAGTACTCTTAAAACCGATCCGTTGCTATGAAAAGCTTAAGAAGCACATCCGCAGAGGGCAGTGGGTTACACGCGGCCCCTCACAGACCGTACCCCCGTGATTACATAACCTTGGGGGCAGCAGCTGCTCCGTCTGCCCACTTCCATAAACACTTACACACGGACAGCTACTGACTATGAGAACGCGCTAAACTGCACGAGGCCATACGCTTTTCCATCTTAAAATAAAATGAAATCCGTTCATCTTTCCTTCCAGCTCGGACACCAAGCACAAGCCTCCCCGCACCTGCCCAGGGCCGAGGCACCAGGCACGACCGCGTCTTCGCCCCAGCAGGGAAACACCAGCGACCAGAGCAGTCAGGGCGGAGGGGGCGGTTGCGGCCCCCGGCCGGGGGGAGGCCGGGCTACAGCACAGCTCCTCCTCACGCCCCCCGGGTGCCGGCTGTCAGACAACCGCTACCGCCTCCCCCGAGCTCTGCCGGGCCTGGACATCCCCAGCTCCCTAGCCACCGGGCAGGGCAGCGCAGCGCCGTACCGTGCCGTACCGTACCGTACCGTACCGTACCGCCTGCCGTACCCGTACCTGCTCCGCCGCAGAGCGCACACACCGGCCCGCGCCAAGGCCGCCGCCATCTTGCCGCACCACCGCCGCGCCCTCTGCTGCGTCCTGCGCGTGAGGGCGGGAGACAGTCGAGGGGCGGAGCCAGGCGGGGGCGGGAGGGAGGGGTGGGCGGGGCCGGTGCGGCTGAGGGGAGAGTGGGGTGAGGCGGGATGGGGTGTGAGGGGGGCCGTTACCTGAGGGCAATATGAGTGTAGGGACGGGACCATTCCTCAGGGCAGACATGGAATGGGGACACGGGCACGAGGCTGCACCCGAAGCTGGTGAGGGTTCTCTGCGGGAGTAGTGCTGGGACAGGGCCGGCCCTGAGAAGGCTGAGGGCCATTGCCCATAGTTTGGGGTCAGGGTGGTCCCTGAGGATCTGTGGTATGGGGACAAGGCTGCTCCACAAAGGCAGTGTGTATGGTAGCAGGATAAAGCTGTTGCCCAAAGGGAGGTATGGTTAGAGGAGAAGACTGCTTCTTGAGGAGCTGAGGATGAGGCAGTTGGGGTTCAGCTGCTTCTCAGCATTGCTGTTGAGGGGCAAGTAAGTCCTTGACCACAGATGTGGGAGCAAGAGGGATATCAGGGCAGAAATTATGTGGATGGGGGACACACTTGACACAGGACAAACACAATGCTGCTCCTGCAAGTCAGATGTCGCACAGGGTAGTGCAGTAACATTTGTTCCTACTCTGGTGTCCCTTACCTGGATCCTGGTAGCACAGAGGGGAATTCATAGAGATTATTTGGTTTCCACCCTCTCAGATGCATCCCCTAGACACATGCATGAATGCTGCATTGCTGGGAAGAGGCTAATTACCATTTTCTGATGCTGCTATCACCCTATGGGGGTAGTTTCAAAGGTTGAATCAGTAGGAAAAGAATTCCAGAGTCCTGCTGCTGTGTTTCTGCATCCTCAGCGCTTCAGGACATGATCCTCTCAGCAGACCTGATTACGTTTGTGATTAATGCCTGTTTGTTTTCCTGATGGGCCAAAATAAAGTCTACAACACCGTCATGTCATTCTGGTTCTGACATCACCACAGCAGCACAGCAACTGTGTAAGTACCTTAAACGTATACAGGAAACCTTTTGGTTTTAAATTTGTAGCATCTGAGCAGAGATCCAGATGCAGCCCTCATGCAATAGCAGTAGTATCAGCTGGCTGAGTTGTTGTGAGGTACATATATTGTGTACATAATGGTAGGATTGGCAGGAAGTAAAACCTCAAAGAAGGTGGGATTTGATCCTGTTAGGTGCTTTGCTACAAGCATTGCAAGAATCGTTAGCTTTGATGTCTAACTGCGCCCTGCTAGTGGGCCTGACGGACAAGTTTCCCCAGAAGTGATTCAGAAATGATTCAGAGGTTAAGGTGTAGTTAAATGAAACATACTTGTTTATAGTGATTAATGGTCTGTCCCAATCTGATCTTTTTCCCCTAGAATTAAAAGTAAATATGTGGACCTTTAACTATTTTTAAATTACTTTTATCAGGTGTTTTGTTCTTACATTTGTTACTGGTTTTAACATATGACAGTATGAAAAATTATATAGACTGTGCTTACTGAGGAATAAAACATACTTCCCAAAGGGTACGAAGCTGTGCTGGGCCCATGCAGGTGAGCCAAGTCAAAGATTGGACAAATACCACAGTTGTTCTCTTAGCAAATGAGAGAACAGAGATTTTGGGACTTGAGAACATTTGTTCAGGGAGTGAAGGAAGGAATGAGAAATGTAATTGCTGTGATTGGATTAGTGGGAAACGTAACACCTCAACAAATGTTGCAGATCCAGCAAGGGAACTTATGAAATGCAGAGATAAGCACTGGAATCCATGTACCTGAATGCGGAAGAAGCAAGTGGGGAATAAGGACTCTGAATCACTAGGGGAAAAGTACATAAAACAACAAAAGAAATCTGGGAAAACTCTTGGCAAAAACACATGAAGCAGAGAAAGTACTAAGAAAATCTATAAAATGAAGGAAAACAAAATCTGGCAAAAGACTGCATAGTGAATTCTTTCTTGAAAAGGAGAGATGAAACCACATTAGCAATATTTTATGCATCATATATCTATATATATTTTGTGTTTCTTTTTTCCCTGCTGTAGAATTAATGATGTTAATCATGGCTGCTGTAGAGTAATTAAGAGGTAATACTCCAGGTTAAGTGTTAGAAAACAGGGAAATAAGCCTGTTTGGATGAGACTGCTGTGATAGAATGGAATGAGGAAAGTCGAGAAAGTCAGCAGTGGCACAGTGCTGTTCTGAATTCTTAGAGAGGCAAAGGACTACTTTTTGTTTAAAGTAACTCAGATAAACCATTATCAGGTGAAAAGATAAGGTAAGAAGGACTCTTCAGTGTTCTGTAGAGTGATATGTTCAGTAGTTTGGACAATTCACTCAGCTTTAGAAATCTTTTTTCTGTGAGATAGATGTCTTACCTATCTCCCAAAGGCATTTTAGTGCGTTTTGAAACAGGAGGAGCACAAGTTAGTTCAAAAGCAGAGGCTTACATGTCCTCCTATGCCTGTTTATAACAAAGCAGAGAATGCATGGTTATTTTCTATCTGTGAATAGGAGCAGGACATTGTCTCTTTCTCTTTTGCATACAAGGATATGCCACCCTCTGGCTTTTTTTCTTAAATCATAGTTTATTCTTGTTGATGCCTAAAACTCCTTTGTTATCTTCCAGAAGCTTTGGTCATCACTGTGGAATTCCTGGTATGAGAAGACAGAGCTCAGGGTAGAGAGAGGATCCTTGCTGAACTGCTGTAATCATGAAGACAGTGATTTTAATTGTCTTAATCATCTTCACTTTGCTGTCTTCAGGTAAGACTGATGCAGAGGGAGAAAATGAAATCTCTGGGTGGGTTACCAGGAAGCAGACTCTAATATTTGCTTTGAGTTTGTTTTCTTCTGTGCTAAGAAGTTGCAGCTAGAACTGTGCCTGTGATTTCCATTTGCCTGTATTTTTCCTGTTTGATCATTGGCAGATGGTGACCCAGTTAGTTTTGAAGCATCTTGATACACTAGTTTCTTAGTAATTCAGTGAAGGTTTGTTTCCCTTGAGTAGCTGAGATCTGCGTACTTATTAATGATGTCAAATTGAATCGGTGTATTTCAAGCTGCTCCCCTCTAAAACCACAACAGGTTCTTTTTGCAGTAGTGCTGAATTAGTGTCAAAGCAAGTAGGGTACTAATGTCTGATGCTATGCTCAAAGAAATAAAAATGTCCATGTTTTAATTGTAAGCATTATTTATTCCAGGAAACTTTTTTGTTTAATATTAATAGATTGACAGAGATCCAAACCCTTAAACATCTGGAAATGGCAATGTTAGAGATGTTGTAGTGTTTTCTATGTATTTGGTCATGTCTTTCACTACATAGTATAAATGTGTCTCGTTACATAACTGCATGCTATTTTAATATATAATAATCACTTTTTTCCTTAAATGTATAGCATCTCCTTGAGATGCTATATGATGATACTTTTCAGAGTAGGCATTTAACAGGAAAAATACAAAATAAGTCATACTACATCAAATATAGAATAATTGGTGCCTAAAGCAAAAGAGGAAATTTTGTTGACATGTCTGGACTCCCTGAAGATGTAGCTTTATAGTCAGTTTAAACCTACCAAGCCCCCAGTTCCTCCTGGAAAAGGAGGTTTTAGCATCTCCTCCACTTCTAATTGTATCTTCCTTCTGCTGGCACCATTTTATTTTTTTTTTTTTATTGTTTACTTAGTTTTCAGCTGGAAAAAAGATCTGATAACTGAATAGTGCAGTTCTGCTGCAGTTCTGCACAGTGTTCTTGTGCAGGTTATTTGATCTCTTTGGCATCCAGAAATGAAGATAATTCTCACTAACTTCCTCTTTGGAAGAGGTAAGATTTTGAGGTTCGTGTTTACTCAGTACTCTGTTCAACACGGTACATGGTTCTTCACTGTCAATAACTAAATTGTCCCTAGTTTGTGTCTTTCATAGTGGGTATTGTCATGGAAGATAAACCTCTCAGTCTTGAGGGGAATCCAGCAAATTACTTATCATCGCTGAGGAAACAGATAATACACTGTGTAAAAGCAGAAGTTCCAGTCACAGAACTGCCATCGTAATTTTAAATAACCCCAGATCTTCACCTCCTGATTGAGGGGTTTGATTTACTCTATTATAAAGTAGCATCTAATTGAGAATTGCTTTCAGCTTAAAATTTTTGTACTTCTCCTTTGGTCTAAGGTTTTCTGCCCCTGGAGCTCTGATGTGGATCTTGCTGTTTAAAATCAGGTAGTATTTGTCTGGAAAGAAAATGGGAAGGAAATGCTATTCTAACAAAGCATAGCCCTCAGTGGGAAATGCTGTTCTAACAAAGTTCAAACTATGTAGCTCAGTGCTGCGAGACACCTGGGACTTGTAACATCAGATATTGTCTGATGGAAAAACAACAATCCCCTCTCTGAAGACTACATTCAACAATGCTAAGGCAACTTGATTCCCTATCAACATCCTCCCTACATATTTCTTGTTTTTTTGCAGGCTTAGGTCTGAATCTCTAGAACTTCGTGACAGAAATACTAAGATTGGTATGGATAAATTATGCATGAGAATATGTGTGTGTGAAAGCACCAGAGGAAACAGCAGAGCAAAGGTTAAAAGAATGGCCTGTATTGATAACCAAGAACACAGTTCACAGTACTAAAGCTTATAAACCCTGGGGAATGCATAGTTTTCATCAAGATTAGAAATCTTGACTCATTTTTGATCTTACAGGGAAGAAATTCCGATGGTGCACCCTTTCTGACCTAGAGCAGAGGAAGTGTGCTGAACTGTCTAAAGCACTCATGGCTGTGGTGCCCCTTGCTGCTGTCAATTCATTTGCCAGGATTTCTTGCATCAGAGCTCACAACACATATGACTGCATTGATAAAATCAGGGTGAGTTCAGAGAGATTTTTAAAACTGATTTTAGCTCCAAATCCTCTTTTGAGGAAGTAACTGATAAACAGAACCCATGGGAGAATAAAATGATACTGAAATGATGGTATTGCATATATGACAAAGTACTCAGTACTAGCTTGAGAGGCAAGAATTAAAACCCATGAGTATTCTACTAGATGTACTCTTTACCCCAGCTCACGTCCTTGCAATCACCAGGAAATATGTAAAATGCTGCTTGGACATAGATGGACAAAACCAAACTACTAAATTAAAACTTGCTGAGAGCTTTTGGTCCTACTCTAACTATAATGAATATTTTCTCTTCTCTTTCTTCCCTGCTATTTTTAGCATCTCATCAGTCTTTTCTAAAGTAAAGAGCAAAGCCTTTTCTGTATAAAGTTCTTTAATTTGAATCAAATTAGACATTAATTTGAATCAAATTAGGCAGTGATTTGAATCAAATTAAACAGGACTCTGAGAAGTATCTGGGGTCTTGGGGGTGCAGTAGAAGGAAACAGGGGTTACCTTTTTCTTCAGCTGGCATCAGAATTGTGGTTTTGAGTTGGAAAACTCAGAGGTGAGAAAGGATGTTACTGGAAGTGAACTGGAATTGTTTTAAAGTAACAGCCTTCACTGCTAGCATTTCACCATGCTTAGTGACATGGATTCAATTAAAAAACAAGCAAATACTTGTAAAAATCTCTGGTTACTACTTCTCAGGCAGAAATTCTGCTCTTGGAGCTGCTGTTTCTATCCCTGTAAACACATTTATTTTGAGGATTTTGCTGTTGTTTTTAAGGTGAATAAAGCCGATGCTGTCTCCTTGGATGCTGGAGAAGTTTACTCTGCTGTAAAGCTCTATGGTTTGACAGTTGCGGCAAAGGAAATCTATGACCAAGGTAGGTTCATAAAGCTAAAGAATAAGTTGTATTTGGCTAACAAATTGCTGTAAGTGAAAGGCAAAGTTCAAAAATTCTTGAAAAAAATCTGTATGTCTCATTAACTTTATAGGAGTATGGAGGTGACTAACAACTGTTGCTTAAATCATAGAATCATAAAATCATAGAATGGTTAGGGTTGGAAAGGACCTTAAGATCATCCACTTCCAACCCCCCTGCCATGGGCAGGGACACCTCACACTAAACCATCTCACCCAAGGCTTCATCCAACCTGACCTTGAACACTGCAAGGGACGGAGCATTCACAACTTCCCTGGGCAACCCATTCCAGTGCCTCAGCACCCTAACAGGAAAGAATTTCCTCCTTATATCCAATCTAAACTTCCCCTGTTTAAGTTTTAACCCGTTACCCCTTGTCCTGTCACTACAGTCCCTAATGAAGAGTCCCTCTCCAGCATCCCTATAGGCCCCCTTCAGATACTGGAAGGCTGCTATGAGGTCTCCACGCAGCCTTCTCTTCTCCAGGCTAAACAGCCCCAACTTCCTCAGCCTGTCTTCATACAGGAGGTGCTCCAGTCCCCTGATCATCCTCGTGGCCTCCTCTGGACTTGTTCCAACAGTTCCATGTCCTTTTTATGCTGAGGACACCAGAACTGCACACAATACTCCAAGTGAGGTCTCATGAGAGCAGAGCAGAGGGGCAGGATCACCTCCTTCGACCTGCTGGTCACGCTGCTTTTGATGCAGCCCAGGATACGGTTGGCTTTCTGGGCTGCAAGCGTACACTGCTTCAACCAACTTCATGAGGTTGGCCTCAGCCCACCTCACAAGTGTGTTGAGGTCCCTCTGGATGGCATTCCTTCCCTCCAGCGGATCAACCGAACCACACAGCTTGGTGTCATTGGCAAACTTGCTGAGGGCGCACTCAATCCCACTGTCCATGTCAGTGACAAAGATGTTGAACAAGACCGGTCCCAACACCGATCCCTGAGGGACGCCACTCGTTACTGGTCTCCAGCCGGACATTGAGCCATTGACCACAACTCTGTGTGCGGCCATCCAGCCAGTTCTTTATCCACCGAGTGGTCCATCCATCAAATTGATGTCTCTCCAATTTAGAGACAAGGATGTTGTGTGGGACAGTGTCGAACACTTTACACAAGTCCAGGTAGATGACATCAACTGCTCTACCCCTGTCCATCAGTTCTGTAGCCCCATCATAGAAGGCCACCAAATTGGTCAGGCAGGATTTCCCCTTAGTGAAGCCATGCTGGCTGTCACCAAGCACCTTGTTGTTTTTCATGTGCCTTAGCATGCCTTCGTGGAGAATCTACTCCAAGATTTTGCCAGGCACAGAGGTGAGACTGAGTGCTCTGTAGTTCCCTGGATCATCCCTTTTCCCCTTCTTGAAAATGGGGGTTATATTTCCCTTTTTCCAGTCATCGGGATCTTCACCTGACTGCCATGAATTTTCAAATATGATGGCCAGTGGTTTAGCAACTTCATTTGCCAGCTCCTTCAGGATCCATGGATGGATTTCATCAGGACCCATGGACTTGCGCACATTCAAATTTTTAAGATGGTCTTGAACCAGATCCTCTTTTATAGTGGGCCCAAGGTCTTCATTCTCACTGTCCCTTCATCTACCTTCCAATACTTAGTGATGGTTAGTAAAATATTAGTGGTGTAGTCTTTCTGCCTAGACAGGCTACTACCTAGGTACTGGTGCTGTCAGATTGTATCTACCTCTGCTTGCAGCACTAGTGTATACCCAAGTACTACGTCTTGCAGGGAATAAGAAAGCTTTTGTTCATCTGTGTCAGTTCTTATACCATGCTCTTAACTAGTGTAACCAAGCATTTACTAGTTTTCCTTAAGAGATTAGCTTTTCTCACCATTTAATTCTCTCCTTCACACCCTAAAGAGACAAAAATATAAGATGGAAAATCTTGTTATGGTAAGATTCCTCTTCATTCCTGGCAGACGTAAATAGTGTCTGCAATGAGTTGTAAGGCAGGAATAAGTAACTTTGAGCCAAAATCAAACATGGAGTAGAAAATACTTCTAAGACATGAATCTGAGAAGGAAGCCAAATTAGCAGATGGATACAGGAAGAGACTAATAAGGGGACACTATGAGAACAGAAGCGAATTTTGTTTTGTCTGAAGAATTGTGAAATCATAGTGGAATTGATGTGTTCTGAGGATAAGACATATGAGTTCTTTCCATTACCATATGTAAACAGTGTGATACAAGTCTTCAAAAGTGTTGAGAAGCAATTGCATAGGATGATGGAGTGGGATCATCTTGTAAGCCTTTTACACCAGGTTTTTATGTTCTTCTTCGCACATCACTTGCATTGCTCAGTTTGACACAGTGCCATGTAGCTGGTAGGTGATAAATTTCTTGGCATGAGTACCTATGTTTCATATGCCTAAGGTTATTTTTTTTCCTTAGCCATGTTCACAGAAGTAGTGGAAGTCCTGTACACAGATGGAAGCTGCAATACTGGGGTTTAGTTATTTCTGTTGCATATTTTGTTTTATTCCAGGAAATTGTGTGTTTGCTGTGGCCATTGCCAAACGAGGAACTCTGGATATCCGGAGGCTACGAGGTGTGCGCAGCTGCCACAATGGAGCCAGGTGGACATCCGGCTGGAATATTCCACTTGGCTTTCTTCTTGCAAGCAATTATCTTTCCTGGGATGAGGAGCAACCTCTGAGTCAAGGTGGGTGATAGGAGCCATAGGGTTATGTCTCTGCTCTCAGCAAAAACAAGTGAGTTGCAAGCAGATGTGGAATGAGCTCAACTATGTGGAAATTGAAGGGCTTTGTGGGTGAGGTATCCTCTTGGAGTGTTTTTGATACTGGCTCTTAGTTCTCTTCAGAACTTTTCTAGTGATCTCAAAGCAGCAGAATTGTTACCAAACTGGGAAATCTTTGCCTTCTGTATGCAACAGGGAACAAACCTTTCCAATATCCAGCCAGTACAAAGATGGTTTTAAACAAGAAATATCTGATCACATTTTCCAGTAAATGTTTCAGATTTGAAGTTCAGACAATGAAGCTGCATCCACTGATTTATTTATTTATTTATTTTATTTATTAATTCACTGTAGTCCTAGTTATGTCCATGATATGTTTGGCTGCTTTTCCTTCTTCTGTTTTTCCCATTTGACTTTTTTTGCATCTCCCTTCCCCTATATCTGCAGTAGTCAGTGAGTATTTCAATGGAAGTTGCATCCCTGGGGTTGGTGTTGCTGCTCCTCAACTGTGTGCTCTCTGCCAAGGACAAAAATCCTATGTCAGAGACAAGAACCACTTCTGTGAGACGAGCAGTAATGAACCCTTCTATGACTCTGAAGGAGCCTTCAGGTGAGCTCTGTGACACTGGTCCTGAATTTACCTTTAAGGAAAAAGAATTTGTGAGGGAGAAAAAACCAGATAGCATGTTAATAGGGTGGCATTTTTCTCCCTGCAGGTGTTTGAAGACTGGAGTGGCAGATGTTGCCTTTTTAGATCATCTAACAATTATGAGTGCTACAGGTAACCTTAAAAAATCAAATTAATTTTAACTTCTGACTGTAGTCTTTCCTGAGTTGGGGGAATATGCCTGGATTTCCCGAGTGGGGAATATGCTTGGATTTTTGTTGTTTCCAGGGAAAATTCAATCCTTGCAAGCAGTTCAGTGTATTTCTTGGCTCTCCACCTAAGTCAGAAGGAAACAGAAGAGGGAAGAGTAAGTGAGCAGTAATTGCTCACAAGAGTTTCTCAGGGTGGGAGCAGACAGATGCTTTTATACAGGTGGTTTTTTTAGCCTGAAGTGTCTGACACAGCTGTCAGTATTTGTATTACCTGAGTTATAAGATTCCTTTTAAAATTTAGTGTATTTTGTTGCTGGAATGTACCATTCCTGTTTACCTTGTTTGTATTTTAAACATGGTCAAGGTCTGTACTGACATTTTTGAAGGTAGCTTTAGTATTTGCAGGTAAGGATTTTGAAACAAATGTATGTACAGGGGTACAGCTAAAGAACATTTTTGAGTATCTTTGGCTGAGGTCCCTCTCTTTAAGAGAAGAGCATATCAAAGACAGCCTTCCCAAGCTGTGTGCTGCCTACATAGCCTTTGAGCAACCTCCTCTGAAAAATGTTTTGCCTTCCATCCCTGTGCCTGCTGCCAAGTCACATATCACTTCATAGATTCATGAGTGTTCTCTTGTTTCAGAGTCAGAGCAACAGGAATATGAACTCCTATGTCCTGATGGGACTACAGCTGAGCTGACTGAGTACAGCGTCTGTAACTTGGGCAAGGGGCCTGGACGTGGCATCATCACCCGCCACAACTTCCAGAAGATCACCCATAAATTTCTCACCATGATCCAAGTGAGTGGATATGATGAGTTGTGTACCTCCAGAGACAGGTTTTTCTTCCATCTTTGTGTAGAGATTATCATGCAGTTTGCCTTTTCTTCTTGAGAAATTTGTAGTTAGTGTGAACAAATCACTAAAAATTGATTGTTCTGTGGAGGGATCCTGCACTGGCTTCTGGCAGGTTTTACTCTTCTCTAAGATGTTCTTCTCTAGAAAGCTGTGAATAAAAAAGTAAAGATGCTATAACACCCAAACTGAAAAATGGCTAATTATGTTCATTCTGCCCTGCAACTTGAGTAAATTCTTACATAGCTGCATGGGTTCAGGCAGGATTCATCTTTATTCCTCTCTTTTTCTCAGCTTATAAATAGTATCTGTTATCTTGGCATCCAGGAATCTGTTTGAAGCTGAACCTGAAATGCATATTTAAATGCAAATTTAAAGAATTTATGGAGCCATCTGGCCCTTGAAATAGTCCAGTAGTATCCTGGTTTTGGCTGGGATGGAGTTAATTTTCTCCTTAATAGCTGGTCCAGTGCTGTGCTTTGACTTTAGTATGCAAATAATGTTGATAACACAGTGATGTTTTAGCTGTTGCTGAGCAGTGCTTACTCTAAATCAGTGACTTTTCAGTTTCCCATGCTCTGTCAGTGAGCAGATGCAACAAGAAGCTGGGAGGGAGCACAGCCAGAAAAGCCGATCCAAGCTAGCCAAAGGGGTATTCCATACCAGAGAACGTCACATTCAGTATATAAATTAGGTGGAGCTGGCCAGGAGCCACAGATCACTGCTTGGGGATGGGCTGGGCTTCAGTCAGCAGTTGGTGATGTGTTGTGTATCATCTTTCTTGGGTTTTATTCCTCTCTCTTTTATTTCTTTTTATTCTTTATTTCGATTATTAAACTGCTCTTATCTCACCTCATGGGTTTTTACCTTTTTCCAATTTTTCCTCCCCATCCCACCGGGGGAAGATGAGTGAGTGGCTGTGTGGTACTTTGTTGCCAGCTGGGGTTAAATCGTGACAAATAAACAGTGAATAATGTAACCCAGTGTGCTTTTCCTCTGAGTGCTATGTTACAAACCATTGCTGTGAAGGGACCAAAGGATGGGGCTGACTGTTACTGGAAGGATGAGCAGATTTGTTGCAATTAAAAGGTTGTTCTTGTTCTAGCGCCTCTTTGGGCGAAAAGGAAAGGAAAGAGCTAGGTTTGAACTCTTCACTTCAGCACCCTTTGGGGGAAAGAACCTGCTGTTCCAGGATGCCACTCAGCACCTACAGCTTCTTGAGGAGCAGCTGGAGATTGCCTATGTCCTTGGTCTGGACTATGTATCTCTCCTTAAGGGACTAGGACATGAAGGTGAGAAGTCTTCCAGAGATCTGTAGCTAAGGAAAGGGAAGAAAAAGTTCACTTTCCATGTTATTCCTCCCTGCCAGGCACAAGTGCAAAGGCTTAAATGTCCCCTTAACATAGGTGCACGGGTGACATGATCTCACTGTGCTCCTTTCTTCTAATTCAGGCAGCTCTTTGGACAACAGCATTGTGCGCTGGTGCTGCATCAGTGATGCTGAGCTTCACAAATGTGAGGAGTGGGCACTGAGCATCAAATCTGACCCACTGGTCTGTGTCCAAGCAACTTCCATGACCAAATGCATTGAAATGATCAAGGTAGGAGACTCCCTCTAGTCAGACTATATGATAAGGCTGCACAGAGTGCATGTGTCCTTGCATGAGCTGAACAAGATGAAAACCAGCTTGCCCTGTAGAGGAGCTAGTGGGAATGAGAGAGAATTTCCAGCCAGTGGGGAAGTCCAGCTGCTTGGTTACACAATTCGTGCAAATCCTGTTTTTGTTATTTTCTATAATGCTGTTGGCAGAGTAGTGAGGCTGATGCAGTCACCCTGGATGCAACACATGTCTACATTGCAGGAAAGTGTGGATTGGTGCCTGTAGCTGCAGAATGTTATGGTAAGTTCTCATGTGACCTTAGCAAGAAGGGAGGGAATCAAAAGAGTATTATTAAAAATGTAGGTACATTTGTACAGTTTGTGATGGAAGCTGGAATTAATATATATGTTCAAATACTTTTCCCAGCTCTTTCACTAATTGGCTCTGGCATTTGATCTGGCTGTTTGTTTATTGTATCTCTTCTGTAAAACGGACAGAGATGCTGTCGTGGCTCAAAAGGATTGCAAGTTTTTTGATGAGTTGCTGCTGATTAATAGGAATGACAGCAGTCCCAAGATCCTTAGTGGTTGTCTCTCCTCTCCAGGGGGAGATTGTGCCCAGGCTGCTGAGAGCATGGGGGAAATGAGGAAGCTAATTCATCTGAAGCGCGAAGGTAACAGGACAACTTTGAGAAGGCAAATGGTTTAGATTTTCCTGCAGTTGCCTCTAGGATTTATGTAGGAATGTATTCACATGTTGGTTTGGGAAAGAATTTGCTGTGCTTGCTAGGAGCTTTGCAGGAAATGCCAGGCAGCTAGGACAAGAGCTTTGTCATTAAGCAAAGAATGCACATCCAATACCTTAACTGGAGATATGTGACAGCATGAGAGGGGGAGGAGGGGGGCTGTACCTGTCTGGAATACTTAATTGCCTTGATATAAGTGGTTGTTGTCATTATTTTACAGGACTGCCACCTGTTTATGCTGTTGCACTAGCTAAGAAAAATGCCAAACAGATTAACATCCATAATCTTAGGGGAAGGCGATCCTGCCACAGCCACCTGTATAGTCCTGGAGGATGGTTACTTCTTTCCAGATATGCATTGAGAGCTCTGGAGAATGACACTGAGAGCTGTGATATTGGCTCTGGTAAGGGCTGCTCTTGGTTATTTGTTGACTAGACCATGGGAACCTGAAGTCCAAAATCTGGGAGTAAAATGGAGACAGGGACATGAGGATTTGACCAGCAAGCGATGATTGCAGTGTTAGAGGGTCTTGAAGCAGCTCTTCCTCTTATCTGACTACATGTGATTCTTTAGCTGACTTCTTGCTAGCTGTTGGGATGGAATTCCATTCCTGTCTTTTCTTGTGTATGAAGAGGCTTTGGAAACACCTTGCCTTAATCTCACCTCAGTTTTCTTTACTCAGTTTACCAGAATTACTTTTGGAAGAGCTGCATGCCAGGAGCAGATGGAAACCTGTGCAAGGTGTGCATTGGAGACGGTGAGGTGGAAGGGGCTCGAGTATCTAGCAGATGTGCTGCAAGTCACAACGAACGTTACTATGGCAATATGGGAGCACTCAGGTAAGCTTTTTGTCAGTCAGAAGTGCAGAGCAATAGCCAGAACTGGCTTATTATTTTGCTGATGGTTTTCTTTGGAGCCTTTTTTGTTAAGCAGCTGGCTGTATAAACCTTTGCTAGCATGTATTTTATTTTTGTTGCAGTTGCTATGGGATGTTCATCTGAATGGTAATTTAAAGCAGTCATGAAAACACCTTAAGAGCAAAACAGTGCTTCCAAACATGTAAGGCTCAGAGTATTGGTACTGACTTGTTAAAGAAAAGGGATGAAAGATAGTTAGAAGGTCAGAGAGCAGAGGTGATCTGGTAAGAAGCAATGGAAGGTACAGGAGGTAATTAAATAAATGGGAGATAACAAAATAGTTGAAAACAGGCAGAGAAGAATATTAAAGGTGAAAGCACTCTTATAAAACATATGTAATGCATTTAGTTGAATTACATTCTCTTTCCTGACTAGGTGCAGGTGATGCTGCATAGACATTTTGCCACATCTTTGACTTGGGAGTTTCTTTAAGGGATGGAAGGGATTGTCTTAGCAAACATGTGAATACTGTGCACTAAGGTCTATAATGATATCACTAACTTGTTCCATATAACAACCAAGTAATTACAGATGAGAGGGATGCTCCAGCTGCTCCTGGTTTAGTTTCAGAAGACTGTCCAAATGTCAGTCATAGTGTAGTGGCTGTCTCCAATAACTTCTTGGTTTTTTTTCTTCACTAGGTGCCTAGTTGGCAATCCCAGTGGAAGAAGCTTCGGAGATGTAGCTTTCCTGGAACATTCTAACCTCCTCCAGAACATAAAGAGTGAGATGCAGATGTTCTCTTTTCCTTGAGAATGTTCATTAGTGCCAGTTACTTCCCACACACTCGACCATCACTCATGAGGATCAGCTTATACAGGTTTAATCTAGGTCCACAAAGTTGTGTTTGTGACTGGAAAATTGAAGAACATTCCTGCATGTAGGTCTTCTAGTAAAGCTTAAAATTTAGATACCTTTCAGTTTTGGAGAGGAAAGAGGAAGAACCACTGAGTGCAAAGAGCAATGTGTGTTTTGTGGGGGTAATAATCCTTGGAGACTGCACTAATTTTTTTAAAGCTCAAAGCTTTAAAAAGCAAACATTTTTTCTCACCAGACCTTCTCCCATAGGCAGCCATAGTGCATGGACCTGTTATTTGTAATCAGAGTTTCAAGAACAATAATGGCAGATAAGGGCAGTGCTGTGGGCACTTTGTGCTGGGAGAAGTTCTATGGCTTCATCATGACAAAGCAACTTCCTCATGTTGTTTCACAGGCCTTTATAGAATAAACAGTCCAAATAGCTTAATAGCTGAAAATACTGCAAATTATTTTGCCTTTCAGTTTCTGAAACAATGTTGTTACTACACTGTGAAATGTTTAATTTCCCCAGGGAAATACTGATCTTTGCAACAGTCTAGCAATTGGGTTTTGGTTTCCGTAACTTAAATCCCCTCAATCTCTTGAATGATGCCTACTGTTCTAATAGTGAAAATATGGTGCCTCTATGTAGAGTTGAAGAGAAAGGAAACCCCCATTTTGTTCAGCCTCAGAAACAGAATGAGGGTTTCTGTTTTAGGCAATCTCAGTAACAGAAGAGACTTTCCTAAGAGAGGAATCTCTAAAATCAAGTGGAGGTATAAGGGCCTGAAACCCACAGGAATTCATGCAGATATGAGTGGTTTGTTTGGGGAAGCAAAGGACATGCAGGCTGAATTGCTTTCTTTTCAGAAAGTGATCTGATTACTGATGAAAATGAGGCATGATAAGCTGTTCATATGCCTTGATACTACTCTATTTGAGAGGTGCAGCTTAAGTTCACTGACCTGTTTCCTCAGTGAAAACACTACCCTGCTCTTTATGCGTTCCTAATAAATGACAATGTGGCTGCATTTGTTTGAACATACTAACTAAACTCCTTCCTCTCAATTTTAAACATTTTGCATGAGATTCACCCTGTCTTCTACTTTCATTGTTAAAAAGGATTTGCTTTCATTTCATCTTCTTTTCAGATCTGGATATTTCTGGTTGGGCAAAGGGCTATACCCCTATTGACTTTGAACTCTTGTGTCTGGATGGAACACGTGCTGCAGTCACAGAATGGGCAGGCTGTAACCTTGGCCCCATTCCCCCCAGCACAGTCATGACTCGACCGGTCACTGTCACTAAAATCTATGACTTTCTAATGAAATCCCAGGTGAGACAGGTAACTGGGAAAAAGTTAGCATGTTATCACTTGTTATGTACAACTGCTGAAAACCCTTTCAAGATCAAATGCTTTTATATCCTAAATTCATGAAGTGTTTTCAAAGTCAATATGAATTAAGAATGTATGTAGGAGATTGAGAGAATAATTATGTGGATTCTCTAAAGGGGCAATTTGGCAGCAGTTGCCATTCCCCAGTGGTTATACTTCTGCTGAGAAATAGGGTGCTGCAAAACTGCATCTTTTTGTACACCAGCTAAACCTTGCTATTTGTGATCCAAGCCGTGGAACTTATTTCTTTTCTCTTTAGGAATCTCTGGGAAGCAAATTGAATTCTGAATTCCAACTCTTTCAATCATGGAAGTATGGTGAAAGTGATCTGCTTTTCAAAGACACTACTCAGTACCTTGTTCATGCCAGTCACATGAGCTATCAGGAAATTCTTGGAGCGCCTTTCTTTCAGCTGGCAGAATCAGTGTTTAACTGTACACCTGCAGGTAAAGTCAAGTTCTTAGTTTTGAGTTAGAGACAAATGCAAAGCAGGAAGTCTTCTGTGCATAGCTATTGTCCTTTTGGTTAGACCAAATGGAGAAGTTACGTTCTACATAATCCTGTTAGTAACAATTTTCCAGGGAGTACTGTGTTTGGAGCTTCTTTAGAGCCTGTTAAAACTCCTATCTGAAAGCACTAAAACTGGAGCTCTGAAAGAACAGAGTAACTAATATATCATAAAGGTGAGGTTACTGAAATAGGACTGGTTTATTCCCACTCTGAAATTTTTCCCTTCAGTTGCAAAGATCACTTCTGGGAAAAGGGAATATAGTGTTCATTTGGATATGCTAAACTTGGGGAAAAGATAAATTTTATATTCAATTCTTGAATTAATCTCAAAATAACTTAATAGCCTTTTTAAAAAGAGCACACTAGAGAATGCAAGATTAAAACCTTTACAAACGTAAGGGATGGCTTTTTCATTATTTTCCACTGAAAGCTGTGTGAAACATGCACTAAGCTATCACTAAAACTGTCCATGAACCAGTATCAAGCTGTTCTGAGACCTGAAAATCTGCATTGAAGTAAATGAAGATTATAGTTAGTGAGACTTCTGTGAGTCTAAGTTAAAGAACTTCAATTCAAAAGGGGAATTTTACCTCTGTTCTGCTGATTTAGTGAACAGTATTTGAAGAACTTGTTCTTTTTAAAAGCCGCTAGCATCTTTAAGTGCATACTTTCTTACTGGTTTGTAGGCATCTTAGACTTCTGCAAACAGGATATCTGTGCATCTTCATCGAACTGACAGTTAATAAGAGGCTTTGCGAGGCACATACATCATCGTTGATATTGAAAACAGGGAAAGCTGGAAGTCCAACCTATCCAAAGCAATCAGCAAGGAGCAGCAGAGGCCAGTCTGCATAACCTGCACAGAACTAGCATCAGCAATCCTGTACAGCTACTAAGGAGAAACCAGCATTTTTGTGGAAATAGCAGGGCCAATACCATGGACTAAAATACAGACTGTCAGGAGTGGCACAGGTTAGTTGGTAGCAGTTTCCCTTGCTTATCTTATAAATGAAAATAAAATCAACTGACATTTTGGTAGTTGCAGCACTGTCCTCTTCCATCCATGGTTTGGTTGCGGCTAGATAGTCCTTGCTGAATACCCATATATGCTATAGGTTGTATATGTAATTGCTATCAGAAGTAGTCTTTTCTGCTTTTAACTGGGAAGAATATATTGCTTTTTGAACCAAGGATTTATATCAGTAAATCAAAATATTTTTCTCTCACAAATTAAGCAGAATTAATCCAGCAGAACTGGATGCTTGCGGCCTTCGGGTGAAGGAAAACAATGGCTATTCATCTTTGTCAGTATCTCCAACCATTACTGTTGTAGTACTTTAGCACTTTGAATCTATGATTCAAGTGTCAAAACATGATATCTGAATTAAACAACATTGGTTTTACAAGCAGAAACTGCCTGACCATTATATAAAGCCTTTTGAACAGATTGTATCATATATTCATTTTGCTTGTTGGACAAAGATTTAGAGTGTATGGCTCTTCATAGGCAGGGCTTATTTCATTTGCAAGAGCCTTCTGGTCCCATGCATCTGAACCAGACAAGGTTGAGATTTTTTTATTAAAGGGGAGAGGGGAGAAATCCTTCACCCCAAACTTTCCAGTCCTTTTTACATCTATTGCAGTTGTATTAACCTCAGCTAGTAATAAATGGGATGCAAATAGTGAAGACAGGCCAGCTGCAATGAAGTCTGTATCTGCCATATAAAGCAAAAAAACATACCTCCCCCCCCCAACCAGCAGTGCAAGGCAGCAGTACTCAGTTGTAAAGTACACTGTCAAGCATACCTGCTTTTAAAGTTTGTTCCATGCTTAGCTGCTTTCCTGCTGTTTGACTTAAAGTCACCCCTCTCCTCCCCCTTTTCAATTCCTGAGAAAGAAAAACTTTGCATTGTGACCAGCAGCAAGGGTTTAGCTTCAGTGCCTCTTAGCTGAGCCTGTTCTCTCAGTAGTCCCATTTTTGACATTGACTAATCAAACAACAGAGAGAGAGGATACAAGGCCAAACTCGTCTGCCTTGCAGAGAAAAAGGAGAGAGCTACGTGGTGAAAAAAACAAGTCCCAGTGTAGTAACAGCAAAATCCTCGTAATGTGTTGCAGCCAGCAAGCTGTAACCCTGAAGCAGCAGAACAGGACGATGCTTGTTTAGGTCTCTGAGGTGCTCCCTTCCTTTCTTTACTGGAGCTTACATGCCATCTGCGGGAGCCACGTAACACTGCACCTCAGCCAGAGGAGTTCAGGGAACACCGGAGAAACGCATCTGCCAGCTTAGTTTTGCCAAGAGCAGCGTGAAGCTGAATAGCAGCAAATTGAAAGATCTGGGTTATACATAGAATTTATGGGTTAGAGGGACAGGGACGTTGTTTTCTGGCATAGATATTATAGATGTTTAATAGACCTTTTTGGTGTTCTTATGCTTCAGCTTTGGTTTAAAACATCAGTCTGATGCATTGCACAAGCTGTAGTGCATAAGCCACTAGCCTGCTCCAGCCTTGAATTTGTTCTGAACCTAGCAGGATCTGTCTGTGCTCTCTTAATACCTTAAGAAAGTGATGGATGCTCTCTCAGAGCTAGAATCATGCCTAAACTCCCCCGGATCTGTTTCTGTTCCTGTTGAAGTGTGGGTATGGATGAGACAATACTAGAATTGCTGCTCCATGGTCTCACAAACAGCCCACCCAGTTACTTAACAGTGTTTAACCTTTGTGAAGATCTGAGCTTTTCCTCACACATATGCAAGACAGATATATCATGCATATTTACTGATACAAGCCTAACAAGGCCTTAAAAAAACCTGAAAGGTTCTCAAAAATTTATTCCATAAATTAAAAACACACACAAAAGAAACAGTAAAATTTTAGATTCACACAATATTGAACAGAAACAAAATGCCAAGAGCACGATGGAGGCTAATGGCACAAGTGTACAAATTCTCATTGAGCTATTTAACTTGATAGCATCATACAGACTTTTAATCCACAGTTACCATCCATATTCTAGAAGAGCACCTGGAACATAATATACCAAAGGCCCACCTCAAATCAAATACGATAAATGAGAACTGCTTGCAGAAAATCATATTCAGCAAGCATCAGAGCGCAAATGTATGCAGCCACAAGGGTAGCCAGGCAAATGATGCAACATCCGCTAGGTAGCCTCAGCTGCTCCAGTTGTAGCATGATGAAAATAAGATGATTTATTTTTTGTGAAAAGTGATCTTATTACCTCCCATAACCGGCACATTTAGCAAAGAGCTGCCTGGCTCTGCAAAACCTCCTACTAAGAGACAGGACGTGGCAAAAGCTTTGCAATTCTCAAGCTGCTTTAGTCATCAGTCTGTGAGCAACACCTACAGTGTCTTTCCATGATAATACAAACAAAAAAAAAGAAATCCTCACTGGAGTAGGTTCCCTTTATGAAAAGGCAAATGTACATGTCCTTTAGATGTATGCAGGACCCCAGAAGATGCATCCTCTATACTTGTTTCTTTCAATTGCCCGGGACAGAAGCAGCTCAGAGTGGCAAATACCTGGCTTTTGCACAGCCATCACTCCCAGTGTACAAGCAGCAGCCACAAGGAACAAGACTGTTCCACAAATGCTGTAAACAGGAACAGAGGTGGGAAAGGAAGAAAGAAAAAGTGCACAAGCATGGCTGACATCTGTATGCTGGAGGGGCAGAAGAGATGCTTTGTCTAAGTAAGCTTACATCATCATACAAATACTAAACCAAAGAGAATAATGCTGTGTATTTAGGTTGCCACAAACTAAGGTCTGCGACATGCTAGGCAACTGCAACATCATTTTGTAACTCCAATTATTGTAAACAAAAGAGAATCTAATGCTTCCATTGCTCTACTAAGAACGCTAAGAAATGATATTTCAAAGCAATCAAAAACAAGACAGAGCAGGGAAGCAGACCAAAAAACCCCCCTCAAAACAAGAAACCCCACAACCCAAAGGAAAAAACACATTCCATGATCTGAAGCACATTAGAGGTCTGAACTTTGCCTGGACCCAAATTTCCTCCCACCCCACCCATACCCGTTTTCCTTTAAAGCCCCAGTAAGATTCAGCTCAATTGTGTCACAGCACTAGAAGCCTCCCACATAAATGGGAGATGAATGAATGCTGTGTAACAATCCCATTCTGTAGCATACAACCATAAAAATATATATCTCACTCTTGCAACAGCTTTCGACCAGTCAGTAATTAGGCTAATAAACCAATATAGGGAAAGTTTCAAACACTTTTTTAAAAGGCAGTTGACCTTTCGATTTTTAGGGATTTCTTTGTACAAAAATAAAGAGGATCAAAGTGTTGTACAGCAGCCCCAACAGGTTAACCAGACCCTGCTGCTGCAATTGTATGCCACTATGTTCAAAGTTTGCCTGCGTTATTTTACCCTCAAAACTCAAACACCACTCCTTGAAGTGTGCACTCCTCTCTTCTCTACAGTCTTCCTGATTAAAGACAACTGGCCTTCAGAACAAGAATGTAAACTTCCAGGAATCCCAGCACTTAAGCTGGGAGGAAACAACCCCAAGTTACATTTCCTTCGAGATTCAGCACACAGACTGTAATACTCCTCTTCTATTTCTCCACTTCCAAAGCTCTGGAATTTAACACATCACGTGTTAATTTTTAGTTTTCTGTTCAGTCAGTAACAGAAGTGGCAAAGCAACAGAAGATAATGATGGTATTCTCAGTCCTGCATTTATTTGACTTCACTAAAAATACCCACCCACTAGACACTTGCTTAGTTTGAAGGTAAATAGAAACTCTGTTCTATGGGTAGGGAAATAAGAAAGTGCAAGTTTCAAGTGACAAGTGAGAGAAAGAACAGAGTAATTTGAGCATTCCAGCAATGACTGCTTTGCCTGAATAACTTCTATAGGCACTAAAGGACAGAAATTACCTGAACTGCAGCTAGCATTCATTTTGAATTATGCTTCAAGTAAGTGTGAAGTTATCCCAAGAGCGGAGCTCCCTTCCCTCACATGGTATAGCTGGGAAATTGCCCAGTGCTGCATCAGATAATTAGAAATGGCCTTACATAATGAAACAGAAAATTCCACATGCCAGGAGGCTCTTTGTACAACACTAGCTGTTATGTACAACAGTGCTGTTATACATATTTAATTATGAGCTACATGAATTAATGAATTGTAAATCTAAAATGATAGAAAACCCTCTCAAGATAGAAAAAAGATTTATTTTCTTGTTGGCATTAAAATCAAGTTGGTATTTTTAATAGAATTAAAATCACTTAAAAATGAGCCTCAGATTTTGCTGGTGTTCCCTGCATGCAGCAGCTCAGCTCAGTTAATAAAAATCTTTACTTATGTATCCTGCAGCTTAACATCCTCATGGGCTAATTACCTTTTCCTCTGGAGGAGAGGCTGCCATCAACCAGGTAGGTAACAACTCTACTATTAGGGAAAAATTAGTACTGGGCACATTTTTTTCTTACAGTATTACCTATTTTTTGAGCTCAGACATATTAAAATATGTCCTCATACAGCAAATAAAGAAACATATACAAAGTGCAAGTTATTTAAAATCTAGTTATGTGGGGCTTCTGCTGCCTGAAGCCAGGAAGGGCAGAGAAACTCAGAAGGAACCTTCTAAGTAAACGGAAGGAACAAACAATTGAAAGCAAACCCAGACAGCTACTTTTAATTATTAAAAAGTTAGTGGCATATCAAGAATGTGTTTGCTAGAATTTATCTTTATCAAATACCATATCTCTTCTGTCAGGTTGTTCAAAATAGCCATTACAGTAACAACAGCAGACTCAAATGTGCAAATGATCTGAAGTTCAGAGTTCTAGCATCACTGAAGGTGCACTACTTCCTCCTTTACACTCCTACTCTACCCCCCATAAAGTATTTAAATGTAATTAAACATTAGCAGTAATTTCCAGGGGCTGGGAAAGGAATGGTAAATTGGATGCGGCTGTGTTACACTCAGACAGGGACCTAAAAGAATCCCTTCAATAGCATAAAAAAAAATAATAACTTAAAAAAAAAACCAACAAAATAGCACCTTAATGAGGGCCACAGCCAAAACCAGCTCATCACATATTAGAGCAGAGTGGCAGAGTAATGTATGAAGAAGTCAGTAGGTTTCTCCCGAAAAGACTAAAATACTAAAGGAGCTGACTGGACCATTTTCAGCTAAATGGCTCCCTCAGAGGCCTGCTCCTGTTCAGCCTCGTTTGCAAAGAAGGCATCAAGGTCCATTAGCTTCTGACTCAGAAGAGCATCTAACTCTGCACTCGGGAGTGCAGCTTTTTTTGCCCGGGTGAAACTACCCACTGCTTTGATTTTGCCTCGTCTCTTCCTTTTCCGAGGAAGAGTAAAGTCCTGAAACTCCAGAATCCGCTTCCTCTTCTGCTGGCTGACAGAGATCAAGCATCCATTTTTCTCCTTGGGCTCTTCAAAGATTGTTTCCAAGCTCCTAATAAAAGCAAAGGATAGAACCCATGAATACTCAGGGAGCAGATAACCACCTTACCAGGACAGGAAGTCCAGTGGATTTTATAACCCAAGTAAACACACTTCCAGCTTTTACATTCTTACAGTTCCTTCACACCTCTTGTAATGTGTACTTGCCTACAGTGTACACCTCCTGCAACTGCACATCACTGCTAGCTAAATAACCTGTTATTGGTGCACAGATTGGGTTGCTTTCAGTCCAAAAGCACAATTACAGAAACAGTAGAAGATCAGATTTTTGAACTTTCCCTACCACTTTAAATGAGAGCAATTTAAAAGATTTATCTCCCTTTTAGCTTTCAGACACCTTTAATCTCCTTTCTCTCTGCCTAAGTAATGCACATTTATCTTTGTTTTCTCATCAGAAAGCAGAACCAACCTGGCTGGAGGAGGGGACTTGTAGTTCTTGTTTGTGTAAATTTCTTCTAAGCTAAATTCTTTCTTCTTAAGCCTGAAAGTGTAACAAAGAAATCAGTCAAGGAAGAAGAATTTCAAAACTACCTCTCTTCACAACAAGCAGGTTTACAAGAGCCAGTATGAGTCCATTTATAAGACACTGCTTACCTTTTTGGTTTGGGTAATCCCATTGGAGTAAGGTTAGGGTCTGGCTTAGGAACAGTTTTCCTGATTGGGATTTGTGAGACTTTCTTTGGCCTCTTTTCTGGCTCAGTCTTAAGAAAGAAAAAGGGATAAAAAGAAAGACAGGAGAAAAAGTTAAAATGAAGGAAATAACAACCATACTAGTCAACAGAATTCCCTTTTGAGTGTACATTATCTATAGAATAATCATTCCTCTTTGCTTTGCCACCTCCATTCTGCTTGAATAAAAGGAAGAAGCATCACAGACTAGGCATAGCAGCCTGTTTTCTCTCCTCATCTTTAACAGTTATTAGACAACATTCAGTAGCAAGAACTTCAAGTTCTGGGGAACCAAGAGCCCGAGACACCTAAAATCTAAAATGAACTCACTTTTTCCAGTTCTTTGTCATCCTGGGATCTAAGACAGGCTGGAACAGAAGCATCACCTCTATCAAGAGCATGGACCTGGAGTTCAGATGCTGGAAGCCTGGGGGGAGATGGCGATGATTCCAGATGTGAGCAAGGCTTAGGTAATGGAAGAGGGAATGAAGTTTCCAGACTGTAACAGAGAAAGAATGGAACATATTAGATTAATACCCAATTTATGCTACAACAGCATACCATGCTCTCAGGTGATATTCCTAAATTGCAATATGAGGACAAAAAGCAATGCAGTTCACAGTAATTGCCCAAGTGAGTGAACTCTTTCTGCAGTACAGTTAAAAGTTTACAGCTCTACTTAGTAACTACTGATAGAAGAAAGTGATTAATCCTCCTTTTCTGCCAGCAAAACTTTGACACAACTATTAATTATACTTTTTGTTTCCAGATAAATATAAAATCTTTATCTTTGCCATCCCAAAGTTGGAAAAGAATAGAAGGAACATGCAGCACCTAGCATCCTGACATCAGTCAAACAGAAAGAACAGAGATCCAAGTAAGGAAACAAACTTCTCTAGTATCAGATATTCATTTAATAAGCAGTGGCACAACATGTTTGAAAGTAACAGAATTGCTCTGTGCAATGAGCTACATGGTGTTTGCATTAATGCCCTTCCACACTTCTCCATTACACGATCCAGTCAGTTTACTTCACTAACTTTTTAATCAGAAAGCTGTTCTTGCAATAAGCTGCCAAAAGCTGAAAGCCAAACTGACATAAGCAATGTCTTTCTGAGAAAATTTATGATCCCACTACTCAGAATAAATGCCAGAGCTCAAGAGACTCACCAAATCTCATGACCTTCAGTCTGTAGTGCTTCCATATTCTGTATAGGTAAGTGCGGTGTGATGGCATAGCTGGTTCCAAAGAATGAACAAAACAAAACAAAGACAGACAGAAATTAGGTCTACACTATAAAACAGTTGAGGGGAAAATTGTTAGTATAAACTCGACTGGAAGACAAAAAACTGCTAGCATCAGGAATGGGAATGAAAGACTAAAACAATGAAAGAACAAGCCACATCTGCCATTTAGTCCACTAAATTTCACTGACAGCTTGCTAGGGAAATAGTCCTACTTTCACTTAAAAATGGTAGTGATGAGAAAAGGAAACAAAAGTACAGAAAGAGGGAGACAGCATTAGTCTGGAACTTGTAATTGTTTCTATGAAAGTCTATATTCCTCATTCAAAACCCCCAGATTTTAAAATTAAAGTAACCAAAAACCATGAAGGATTTGGCTACTAAATAAAAAAGAAGGGAAAGGAAACGTTTCCATCAGATTAACTCCCTGTTGTCTCTAACTCCCACAGTCTTACTTGAATATACTTAGTTGACTGGAATAACCAAAGGCCTTTCCATAAGGGTTGGTAATTACCATAACTCTATGTCATAAAAGTCAGCACAGCATCTCAAAGCCCTTCAATATTAAGCTTTATTTTTGTGCTCATACTATTAATAGCAGGGTGGAAAAATCAGCTGGGACAGCTTTTATTACATTAAACAGCAAATCTTGCACTTGCTGTTCTCCCAAACTAACAGCTAAATGTATGTCACAGTTCTAAGGCCAAAAAGTTACAGCCAGACTGCAATGCTACAGATAAATGAAAACCAACCATGCTGGCAGCACAGATAAGTCCAAATATAAGGAGGTCAGAAAGACCCATTTCTTGTGTTTGCCATTTAATATCACAACCATAACATTTTTGTTTTCTCCATGTTCCAGTTGCTATCCCAGTACCTGGAACCTGTATCAGTAGTGCATCAGACCCTTCATGCTAGAGGCAGAGCTTACTGATTTATGCAATAATAATAAAAATAAATTACAGGGGGAGGGAAAAAAAGACACTTTAGAAATTTTGAATCCAAATGAGCACTAATTAGAAAAAATATTTCACTTAAAGAATGCTTTTACTGGAGGTGGAAGTGACAGAAGATTCTTAGGCAGGAGAAATACTCCAGTTCCTTGTTTTCCTGTTATTAAAACCACTAACTATGAATGAAATAATTTAAAGAGGACAAATCTGTGCCAGAAATAAATGGGCTGTGGACAGCTGGGAGCCACCTGTTGATTTTTCTGTTTTTTAAATATCTTAATTTTAAAAGGCAAAGATTTTTGATCATACTGGGATGCTGAAAATGTTTTTATTCTGCACCAAACATACATCCTGTATTCCCGTATTTATACACCAAACATTTATTTCATAGGAGACTTCTTTTTTTGAGTACACACAAATTTAAGATAGATTTACTGAATTATCCTGTTGGCACTGTTCCTGCTAATGGCTTTCTAAAAAGATTTATTAGTTGATGAGAAAAGGTTGTCAATCTTAAGCAAAATGGGATCTAAAATTGTGTCAAATACTTGAAAAGTTAGGTTTTGTTCTTTATGTTGCTTATAGCAAAACCTTTAATATTACTTTTTGCTTAACTGTTTTACGAATAGAACTTATTTGCTGCACTTATTTAAATTTCCACAAACCATCTTTTCAGCTCGCTGCATGCTACAACAGCTTCACCTTAAAGCAAATCTGAATGGGTAGAATTGAGGTGCTCTAATACATGCCACTGTAGGGTATTTTAGAGAAAATAAACCCAAAGTTAAAACAGTCTAAAACTCAGTTTGTTTTTCACTTGAAGTGATGAAGTTTGATTTGGCTTCTTTCCCTTTGGGATAAAGATCATTCATAGCAATACATTCAGTTTTTAAATTACCCTTTATGTTAAGGAATTATATCCTCTTGCACTTCAACTAACTGGATATGCTGTAACAAGCTGCCTGGGAGTCTGTGGACTTAAGTATAGGAGAAAACATGGAGCATAAAGTCAGCTCTGATCTCCCAGTCCAAGGATAACATGCCTCAACAACACAAAGAAATTCACCTCAGATGCAGGCCTAAGTTTTAAAAAAGTGTTCGTTTTGGTTTGCATGAATGGCAACAATATCTTATATTTAAGTTTGGTGCCCAAACTCTAGTTTACTGGTGTGATTTCTTCCAGAGTACTAATCTGTTCTCTAGAAAATTAAGCATGATACATTGACTCACATGGAATCAAAAAGAATGCAGGTCGAACAGAATGTGCTGTGAAGTTGTCTCTATGCCATTCTTCAGCCTCGTTCTTTTAGTGCAGGCAGCTCCCAGAGTGGAGCAGTACTTCTATATGCTCACTCACACCTTTCATAGGCATTAGAACTTATACTAAATGAGGTACTTAAACTTTTAGGTATGTTATCCTTTTCTACAAAGCAAAGTAGAGCAGTAGTTTATCTGACAAGAGTTTTGGTTATACATATGTCGAGCCACCAACATAAAATAAGCCATATTCAACAGTTCTTTAAAGGCTGCCATATTAAAGAAATATTTAATCAAATGGACTTTTCTATAGTGCTGGTGATCCTGCACTCTGTCCAGAAAGCTCAAGACCATAAAATCAGGGACTGAGCTGCCTGTGTCACCCGGGCATAAAGTGCAAAATCTTTGCTCAAGAGCATGCAAAAATCCTGTAGCAGAGCTAGGAACCTCTTCTCTCATTTTGTTTCCTAGTAAAAGGAATGCCAAAGTTACATATAATGAGTAGATACCAGTCCTCTTCCCATTCATAACAAGAATGATGCACACACAAAATTCATTACCAACCTGAAGTGGAGCTACGCTTGCTTGTGCCAGCAATACCTCAGTCATATACTATCAAAAGGCACAGCATACATAAAGAGGTTTCAGCTAGCATGGAAATGTTATGGAATACAATTAAAAATTTAACTGAATTCCATCTCTCACTCCTCAGGATTCTTCCTAATCTGATGTTGGGCATTTTTCAGTGGTTCCAAGTGGCACTTGTGGCTCAGACCTCTGAAAAAAAACTTTCCTACCTCAGAAATCCAGTTGTTCTGCAGTCACTCTGAACAGACCTAATGAAGTAGCTCACCTTTCTGCATTATCTATTCTGATGCATGGTGTGTATATTTTGCAAGAGAAAAGAAAGTAGAGTTAGCCATTCTGCCGAAATAGGAGGCTGTTAAAGAAGTGAAGGCAAATATATTTAAACTCAGTTAACAGACTGTTCTGTATGGAAGAATCTTCCATGTTGAGGCATTTTTGGAGTAGAATGTGTAGACTTGGAACAGGGGAAACTGACCCTCCGCTGCAAGCTGCAATTACTCTCTCCCTCTCAAAAAGGAGCAAGTACATACCTTGTATATATTTAATCTCAGAAATAAATTGATGGGTTTTACCTGTTTGCGATGCCCACACTTGGCTGCCACTTGCAATCATTGGAATGGAGAGGAGTGATTTCAGAAGGCCAGGCAGAAGGACCATGCTGACTCCATATGGATAGTACCCTGCCCAATGAGTATGGCAATGAAGAGACGAGGTCATCTGATACAGAAGGTGGATACCTTGCCCCTTTCAAACCCTGTGCGAATTGTGATATAAATAGTCTCTGGATGGTAGGAATATGACTAGTTATATTTCTTCTTCTTGTCCAAATCCTGTAGCATCCAGGGGAAGAAATTGCTAACACTGTGTGAAGGCCAGCCATGGAGCAACCGCCTCTTCTTTCAGCTATGGCATTCCTTCGCCGGTCACGACGAAGGACAACAGCCCCTGGGGTTGTTAGAGAGAGAGAGGAATGCAGTTCATTATTTGGACTGGAATCTTCTTGGAAAGCTGTTGTATCTGAACAGCTCTGAGACAGGAAAAAAGAGAAAGTCCACTTCGAAGGCGGTGCTGGCGTTCCTTCCAAAACTGGTCCGTGATGTACAGAGTGCTGGGATGTCATCCCTGTGAGGTCTGTCACAGGACTGGAGTCCAATTTTATGTGAAAAGAAATTGGGAAAACTGTGGTATCCAAAAAAGAGGTTGGAGGCTTGTGGCTCAAGTCTGAAAAAAGTATTTTGGTAGATTCTACAGGATAAAGTGCCAAAGGCTGAAAGCTGAACATCTTGGTGCACCAACTGTCAGCCCAGCGTGACTGTAAGTTCCTGTTAATGCAAGAAAAGGCTTCCGATAGATTCTTATACCTACGTTGGCTGTACCTCTCACCCGCTGGAAGAAGTTCAGCAGAACGTGGCAGAGGTTCTACCTTATGGCTGCTCTCGGCAGGAGCCAGGAGCTGGCTGGCCATGGCAGACAGCTTGCTCAACAGTGCTGGTTCTTTGGTACATTTTCTAAGTCTCAAGCTGTTCAACAAACTGCACCTCTTGGCCCTCTGCCTTGGCATATGCACACACCTCATGGCTGCTTCTGCTCCCGGTGCTGGTGGCTTACATGGGAAGTACAAAGATTCGAGAAGTGTGTTTTCCTGTTTAGGGAATACCTCTGGGGGAATCTCAAAAAAAGGTGAGCTTCTATTCTTTTTGCTTTTTCTTACTACTTTTAGCTGATATGGTGTGAGAACTTTTTTGCATGTCCTTCCAGGCTGTCTCTTTAATGGAAGAGGCTCTCTTTGCTTAGCTGTAGTTCCAAAGGCACCAGCGATTCCATCATACCCTAAATTAAGGTTCAGGTTTTGCATTTCTGAATCCTGAGTCTTCAAAAACTGTGAACTAATAACATCTGTGGTAATCTTTGGCCTTTTGACTTCTTGTAAAGTGCTACATAGTTTATTTTCACTGCTTCCAACAGCAAAAATCTCATCTGAAGGACTTTCAAACTTTGTATTTCTTGATGTCACCAACTCACGTGAAGAGCTGCACAGGAGTCCAGAACTGTGCAACATACTTGGTCGCAGTGTGATTTTTGCTTTCTCTTGATATTCTGCCTTCTGTTCTTGTTGTGCCTTGTCTGACAGATGTTCTTCCATCTTCTTACACTTCTTCTTTTGTTTAGGTACCTGACATTTCTCTATTTGATCACATCTCTCTGAACCTGAAACCTCATTTTCCTTGCAAACAGAATGAGTTGGTGTAGTGTCCTGGCCTTCTGTAATCAAATTTACATTATCTTTGCTTTGTGCATTTAATTTGTAAGGCACACATACTTCATTGCAAACCACACAGTTTGGGGGTAATTCTTTGCAACTGTTTGATAGTGTCGTAGGTGGGTAAAACGGGGTCACTGTATTACACTGCAATTCTGGTGAAGTTTCTGCATCAGATGCAGCTTCAGCTTGACAATCACGCCGAGTTTCTGACAGGAGATTGGTACCTGCTAAGTTTCTGAGCTTTGTATCACTTGTTCTTTCTTTTGAAAGACTATTTAAGTTAGATCTTGGGATTTCTTCCAAAATCTTTCCATAATTCTCAGTACTGAGAGGGACTATTTTGCTACCAGGCTTTTCTGAATCTTCTGAAAATGCCCATGAACAATCTTCTAAATCAAGAAAAGAACCTGTGGGCAAGGTTTTTCTAGGGTCTACTTCTCTTCTCATCTTCTCTTCCACACATGTATTCCTAAACTTCTCTCCACAGTGAGTCCTTTTTGGTTGGGTCTCGTCCATGTCTTTTATGCTTAGCATGCTATGCCCCTCAGCTCTCAGACTTTCTTTGCTGTAGGCACAAACCCTTGAGCATTTTGCACCATTCAGAAAGCTGATTGTGGCTTCATTATCTGACAACGGAACCTCAGGTTTGTTGGCTTTTCTCTTGCCAGACATTGTTACAGAAAGAGGCTTTGCCACTGAAGAATCTTTGCCAAAAGCTTCAGCTGCAGATGAATCGCAGTTATCCATTTGTGTATTCCCAGATAACAGACACTGCTTTTCTTTCTCAGGCAGAGAGATTCCCAGGTCCAGAACTGATGGTGTTTCTGAATCCACCTGAGTCTCATTATAAGAGTCTTGGATGTCAAACTTTCTGAAATGGGACACAGCAATACCCTTTTGAGTGTCAGTTTCTTTACAAGGCTCAAATGTTAACTGTGGGGAAGAGTTACTTAAGATAGATTTTATTCTCAGACTCTTGTTTTCTGTCTCTGAAAGCACATTCATACTTTCTGGCTTATATGACAGACTCCGAGGAATTGATGAGAAGGGCAAAAATTGGGCACTAACTGGATTTTCCTGATCCTCCACTGATGACTTCACCTTTGGCAAAGACTGCTGCATTTTGTTTCCTGCAAGTACTGGCTCTGCTTTCTCTTCTGCACATTTGATAAAGCAAGCACGCTGTGAACAATGTGATTTGCTATCAGAAAAGCTTTGTTCAAGACTTCCTTTATCTTCTCTTTCACAGCTGTTCTTGTGTTCTTTTTGTTCGATTGTCTTCTCTTCAGTTAGGTCGCTGACGAAGCCCACGTCTCCTGAGCAGTGTTCATTTCTCTCACCATTTAAAGAGTCCAAATCCATTGCACTCTCTTTCAGAGTTCCTTGAAAATTGTCCTCTCTTACATACTCAGGAGCTACTGGAGGCAGGTCATTACCTGTTTTTAACAGTATCTCTTTGCTCCGACTAGAGCCAATTGATATTTTGGTTTCTTCCACAGAGCTAGCCTTAGTTTGTAAGCCGGTCTTTGGCAGTTTACTTAAACTTTCTAAATGTTGCTTGCTGCCTGGAATTGGGCCATCAAACTCACTCTGAGACGCAAGATTTTCCATTGGACGAAGGGTCTTCTCTGCTTGAATATTCCTGTTGCTGAGTAACGGACACCTCCCACAGACTGAAGCACTGTACTTGGAGGGGTTAGCTGTGAGCGATGACACTTCTTCCTCCTTACACGCTCCCAGTTCTCTCTTCTTTGGGCCTAATGGAGAGTTGCAAAATCCAAAATTATGAACACAGGCTGTTTTGTTCAAATATCTGACTAATAGCTGTTCACTAGTTTTATTTCTCTGATTGCCTTTAGGAACCTTTGAAGAATCCACAGTTCTTATTCTATCAAATTCATCTCTCTGAAGAGCACACACGCCGATTTGTTCTTTTGCCTCATCTCTGCCACAAACAATTTCACTGCCATCTGTTACTTTACAAAGACCAAATCAGTTCAAAACCTCCATATTCTTATTTGGAACCTCATTTCTTACCAAGGTAGCAATAGACTTCTCTGCAGTGTAAGCTGAGCAAAGTGTGGGCTTTGCTGTGGAAACATTTATCCCATACAGATCTACACCTCTGTTGCCCCAGACATTTTCACAAGGAAGAGATTCACATGCCAAAGGGAAGTGTGCTTTTGGAAAGATGAGTGCCTTTGAAGCTTCTCCTTCCAAATTATCATTTTCCTCAGTCTTCTTATTGACCTCAACATTAAAGGAATGACTGTTCAGGAAAACATCATCTCCATATGTACTCCCTGATAAAACACAGGAAGTACTGGCAGCTGTACACTGGTCTTTCATACTCTGATTATTACAATTCCATGTGTCACTATGTTCATTTTCTAAACTAGTGACCACACTCTGTGTATCTCCCACTGAAGACTTCATGTTCTTTTGGGAAATTTTGCTTGTCACATTAGGGTTCTCAGAAGTCCTGGACCTTACTGAAGACTTGAATTTGTCTTTATGAAGCACAATTTTAGTGACTTGCTCCCCTGTTGTTCCAGAAGCACCAACTAATTCTTTTCCAGATAGATTATGCTGAGCCTTGTCCCTGCTTGAAACTTCATTAGCAGTACAAGGCAGACACTCATTATGATGAGGTTCTCTTGATTTTTGTGCAACAGGAGGTAGAGTTACATTTAGTGTACAATTCAAATTAGCTTCTTTGCCACTGGAGAAACTGTCATTACTATTAGCTTCTGTAGCTTCAACTAAACTGCCAGCCAACTCTTCTGCTGTTGCATTACTCTCACATTCCTTTTCAAGTGGTTGTGCCTCAGGTGACCCTTTTTCTAGCTTGGTACTAAGATCCAGACAGCTGTGGCTACTGGGAGGAGAAATTTTACCAGAGGGATTATAAAAGCATATGTCTGTCTGTCCAATTTCACAGGAAGCAGTGTTGCTCCTTTCCATCAATAGACTATTTTCTTTCATATCATCCTTGCATAGATCACTGACAAAGAACTGCCAGTGGTCCTTGTTCAATTTATCACCATTTCAAATCTTTCTTTTGAGAACTCCTCAGGAGATGAAGCAACAGAACTAAAAACTGAAGAATGACAATGCTCAGAATTAGCACCCTCTTCACCTTCAGGAGAGCTACAAACTTCAACGCTACCTCCCACAGCAGTTTTTCTCCAGCCTTCAACAGCCTCTTCAGATTCAGACCTGCATGATTTACCTACACTAGAACTTCCCTCCCTAATATGAGATTTAGCACTAGATAATCCTTTCCTCCTTACCACTGAGATCTGCTCTGTTGGTACAGATGTGAAGGTTTGATTTTCTCCAAACCCAGTTCCATGATCATAATGAGTCCGAGTTTCCATGTTTTGGGGGATTTCATTGCTAACTCTGGAGGCTGCAGTACTATTGTTTTCTAGTGGGGTATTTCTGAAGTCCTGAGGACAGAATCGTAGAATAGTTAGGGTTGGAAAGGACCTTAAGATCATCCAGTTCCAACCCCCCTGCCGTGGGCAGGGACACCTCACACTAAACCATCTCACCCAAGGCTTCGTCCAACCTGGCCTTGAACACTGCAAGGGAAGGAGCACTCACAACCTCCCTGGGCAACCCATTCCAGCGCCTCACCGCCCTAACAGGAAAGAATTTCCTCCTTACATCTAATCTAAACTTCCCCTGTTTAAGTTTTAACCCGTTACCCCTTGTCCTATCACTACAGTCCCCAGTGAAGAGTCCCTCTCCAGGCCCCCTTCAGATACTGGAAGGCTGCTATGAGGTCTCCACGCAGCCTTCTCTTCTCCAGGCTGAACAGCCCCAACTTCCTCAGCCTATCTTCATACAGGAGGTGCTCCAGTCCCCTGATCATCCTTGTGGCCTCCTCTGGACTTGTTCCAACAGTTCCATGTCCTTTTTATGTTGAGGACACCAGAACTGCACACAATACTCCAAGTGAGGTCTCACAAGAACAGAGTAGAGGGGCAGGATCACGCTCCTTTCGATGCAGCCCAGGATACGGTTGGCTTGCTGGGCTGCGAGCACACACTAAATCCATCTCATGTTCATTTTCTCATCAACCAACACCCCCAAGTCCTTCTCCGCAGGGCTGCTCTGAATCTCTTCTCTGCCCAACCTGTAGCTGTGCCTGGAATTGCTCCGACCCAGGTGTAGGACCTTGCACTTGGCATGGTTAAACCTCATGAGGTTGGCATCAGCCCACCTCACAAGCGTGTCGAGGTCCCTCTGGATGGCATTCCTTCCCTCCAGCGGATCAACCGAACCACACAGCTTGGTGTCATCGGCAAACTTGCTGAGGGCGCACTCAATCCCACTGTCCATGTCAGCGACAAAGATGTTGAACAAGACTGGTCCCAACACCGATCCCTGAGGGACCCCACTCGTTACTGGTCTCCAGCCGGACATTGAGCCATTGACCACAGCTCTGTGTGTGGCCATCCAGCCAGTTCTTTATCCACCGAGTGGTCCATCCATCAAATTGATGTCTCTCCAATTTAGAGACAAGGATGTTGTGTGGGACAGTGTCGAACACTTTACACAAGTCCAGGTACATGACATCAACTGCTCTACCCCTGTCCATCAGTTCTGTAGCCCCATCATAGAAGGCCACCATATTGGTCAGGCAGGATTTCCCCTTAGTGAAGCCATGCTGGCTGTCACCAAGCAGTCTGTTGTTTTTCATGTGCTTTAGCATGCCTTCGTGGAGAATCTGCTCCAAGATTTTGCCAGGCACAGAGGTGAGACTGAGTGCTCTGTAGTTCCCTGGATCATCCCTTTTCCCCTTCTTGAAAATGGGGGTTATATTTCCCTTTTTCCAGTCATCGGGATCTTCACCTGACTGCCATGATTTCTCAAATATGGTGGCCAGTGGTTTAGCAACTTCATTTGCCAGCTCCTTCAGGACCCATGGATGGATTTCATCGGGACCCATGGACTTGTGTACGTTCAAGTTCTTAAGATTATCTCTAACCAGATCCTCTCCTACAGCAGTCCCTGGGTCTGCCTTCCAAGACTTGGGTGGTGTGGTCAGAGCCTTTACCAGTGAAGACCGAGGCAAAGAAGTCATTAAGAACCTCAGCCTTCTCCAAATCCAGGGCAGCCAGTTCTCCCAATAGCTTCCGGAGGGGGCCTATGTTGTCCCTAGTCTGCCTTTTATTTGAACGTACCTATAGAATCCCATCCTTTTATCCTCAACATCCCTAGCCAAGGTTAATTCTAACTGGACCATAGCTTTCCTAACCTGGTCCCTAGCTTCCGGGACAACACCCCTCTATTCTTCCCAGGCCGCCTGTCCTTGCTTCCACCTTTTATAAGCCTCTTTTTTTTCATTTGAATTTTCCTCAGCAGCTCCTTATCCATCCAAGGAGGTCTCCTGCACGTCCTTCTAGTTAGTATACAACACTCCCAAGCTTGTAGTAGGTGATCCTTGACTATCAACCAAGCGTCTTGGGCCCCCCTGCCCTCTAGAGCTATATCCCATGGAACCTTACTAAGCAGGTTCCTCAAAAGGCCAAAGTCTGCTCTCTAAAGTCTCTCACCTGAACATGTGCTTGGTTTTCTTCTGCACAAGAAAAACTTACGCAAATCAGAACCATATGCCATATAATTTAGATCACCAACATAATACTTATTACAGAAGGCAAATAATATGTATTTGTAACACTGAAGCTCAACACAGCTGGGTATTTTATCTGCTCTATCCTAGAATACAGCTGTGCAGAGTAGCCATTTCCATTCCTTCTTCCTTAAAGGCATTTTTGTCAGTAAGTCATCCCCAGGAAGACAATGTGTGCCTCATTCTGCCCAAGCAATGATTATTAAGAAACTGTTTTGTAAACTCACAAAGAAGGGGCTAATTCAAATTACAGTGAGTGTAGAATATCTTCATATTCAAAACTTCACATGGAATGTATTTGCTCAGACTTCTGCATACCTTATCTGTGGTTTCTACTAAGAACCAAGACTTGGTGGCATTCTAAATACAAGCTTTGCTTATATCACAGCACAGAGGGAGAAAGAAAATAAATACTAGATGCAGGCAAAGTGACCAAAGTATTTGAAGCTAGAAAATTATGGATCATAATGAAATTAAGATTTGTTTTGTTGTCCTCTTCCTTTGGATTCTGCACTTTAATCTTCATTTTTTAAAACATTAGCAAATGAAAGAGTCTCTTTCTTTTCCACATCTTTGCTATTACTGCTCTCATATAATCCAGCTTTGAAACAAAAGGAAATGCAAAACATCTGCTGTTAACACCACTTTCTGTACTTGTAAACAAGTATTTGACTTAAATAACTAAAACACATCTTGTACATAAAAGGGCCTCAGGAAAAGTGCACATGCTGTCAGGAGAAGGCAGAGGATTAAGTTTTCATATTGTTCTAGCTACGTAGGGTAATAGTTTCTACTGTAAAGCAAAATAAATGAGCTATCCCACAGTCACTCATCAATTCCGAAGCAACAAAAAGTAATCTGGGACAGCAGGTTGCTAAACTACACACCTGTGTTCTTCAGAGATCCCACTGCTTCGGTGCAACAGGTTCCCAAAGACTTCAATTCATGCTGGTTTAAGTGAGGGTCCTCCTGCAACAAGACAGGAATATTAGTGGAGACTGATGGATTTCCTGAAATGTTCAGCATGTTTCAGGGGCTGCACCTGCTCATCTGAGTCAGTTCTGAGTAAGAAAACTACTGAGAAACCTCAGGACACATCAGTCCCTGCTTGGAAGCAGCCTTGCATTGCAATTTGTTCACACAGTTCCCATCTGATCCTATCAGTCACTATCGTCTCCCCGTTAAACCCTGATGCATCCAAAGGTTTGTGTTTGGCAGCAATGAAGTTTTGTAACATACGCAGTCAAAATATAAGCACCTTAAAATGCAAATTGTCATGAATTTGAATCAGAAGAGTAATCCAGTCCCTAAGCCTATCTCACGTCCCCAGACCATTACTGCACACTCTGTAAGACCCGTGCACTTTCTTTTCCTTGGTAGAACTTGCCTTGTACTGCTCCTTCCCTAGCCTCAAAACCACAAATCCAGGAGCAGATGACCTCAGTCTAATTGCAAAAAACCCTAAGCCAAACCAAGGCCCCACAACCAAACTGCCAGCACTATGAAATATGGGAAAACTCATCTTGGAAAACTGAATGACTGGCAACTTCATTTAACCTCATTTTCACAAACTTCTAAATAAATCCATCAGATACCAGAATCCAGAGTTAAAAACCCGAAATATTTTAGTATTATGCAGAATACAGTAAGCAGGTCTGTAAAACACAGAACTATGCACCATATCCAGGTATTCTTAATGTCCTTTCCAACCCTAACTCTTCTATGATTCTATGATTTCCTGGCTGGTGTGAGTTCAGTCACCATACTTTTTTTCTCTCCTATGTTCTTCTAGGGAGTGTGAAAACTATCTACAAATGAAAGAAAACTGAGTTTTGTGACTGTTCAGTTTTCAATAGAGTATTATTTAGCACATCTTTCAGCAGCCTTTACCTAGAAAGAACATCTTGATCATCAGGGGTGATAAAGCGGAGGAGTTAAAAAAAGCCATGTGAGTCTCCTTTTGAAAGAGGAAACTGACTGTGATTTCCTCTCTCAATACAAACAGTAATAGTAAAAATGATGAATAATCTTTATTTTTAGATTAAGCCCTGGAATACTAAACTGAACCCCCTGTAGCATTATAATACTATTACTAGTCTGAAATAACTATTATTATTATTTACCTTAATAACTATTATGGTACCAGTAGAATATGCTGTACCCACAAAACTTGGATACTGGGCAAGGAGCTCTATCTAAGTTGTTTCTCGTTTTTTTCAGTCAGTTTTGCTCTACGTTCTGCTACATCCCTGCATTACACCATCCCAACAATGTCTAAGAAAATGGAAAGCTTGATGTTACAAAACACTGCTTGTCTCCTGAAGTAGGGCCTAATTTTGCACTGGACCCAGGCAATCCAAATAACAACACCCATGCCAGAAGCCCCAAATAAGAAACAGGAAACCACATGGACAAAGTCATCCACCCAGTCACTTTAACCCTACATTCAAAACATCACACAGGGATGCATTTTGCCGTTTGCTTACCTGTTTTTCCAAGCTTCCCCCAGGAGCAGGAGTGCAGCATTCAGTATGATACTCCTCAGCATCTTGTGCCTGTTTGCCACCTCTCTGGTATCCCTCACTAGAACAGTCTAGTCTCCTGAAGTTCCTTTTTTTGCTTTTTTCATCCTCTTCAAGGTCTCCAGACTTCACCAATTCTTCACCAAGGGATTCTGCTGGCCCATAAGAAATCACCTGGAGCACATCACCCAAACCCTGGCAGAAGCTCTCTACTCCTGGTGTTGCGCAATGCTCCACTGACAGACTGCTGCCTTGTGCCAGCACAGGCACTGACACACCAGGCTTTGCACTTAACCCAACCTTAGGCTCCGACACAGCCATAAATTCCGTGGAGATGCTTGTGAGCAGCCCAGGGTACACCTCCTCTATTCCATCAGACCCCGAAGAATCAAGGAGAGATTCCACCCCAGATGAGAGCATCAGGGCAGCTGAAGATTGGTTGTCCTGAGCTTTTCACAGTTTACCCTAAAAATAAAAGCAATGTTAAGTCAACATACATAGGAGTAATCTCCAGATTAAGAGGCACAGCTTCATTCATCAAGATTCCAGCATGTATGTTTAAGAAAGCTACTTGCAAATAACGTTTTAAGGAAGGAGCTGAGAAATGTTTGAGTTTCTAAGCAAATGCTCATTAACAGAGGAAGACAGCATGAACAGAGAGACATCCCCAAGCCTTGTTTTCATATTCAAACTTCTTCCTGCAAATATAACGTCATCTTCTGGAATACCTGAAAACAGACTATCAAGCACATCAGTAGGGCTCATATTAGGCATCCTACCCCTCAGCTAAAACCAAAGCATCATTTGTTTTCCTGTGATTTTGTTAAGTTTTTAATCTTCGAGGGAGGAAGGGAAAACCAACTTTTCTTCGCATTTTCTGCCTAGAAGGAACACTTTAAGGCATAATCCATCACACACCGTGCCTCATTAGCGTCTCTCACAGAAGCACCTCACGCTGTACGTCGGATGTGCCGTTCCAGGTCTGTTTGCACGCCGCAGGTATCGCGTCGGGACCCTCTTCAGCCCAAACGACACACCCCGATGCCCTGCACCAGCGAGAGCGCACACATCACAGCGCGTAGCGCTCCAGCCGCTCAGACGCCGGCGGATGAACGAACCCCCCTGTCTCCCCGCTCCTGAAGACACCTCCACCGCCAGGAGCTGTCGAAGCCCGGCGTTGCCAGAGGCATCAGTTACTCAGTTTACAAAAACACGGGCTTGAGCGCTGCTCTCCCTGCTCCCGAACCGAGACAGCATTGAAGGAACAGGCTCCTCCGGCGCCAGCCCTGCGGGAAGGACCGCACTGCCGACGGTACCGCCGAGCCCCAGCTACGGCACAACTCGAACCGACCGCTCCTTTGTCCGGAGCGCGGCGGCAGCGCGGACAAGCTCAGCCCAGCGCCCTTCTCCTCCTCCCGGACAGCGGCGGCCCGATCTGCGCTGCTCGTCCCCGGTGGTCCGCACCCGCCCCGAGGCGGCGCGCTGAAGGTAATTATGCAACCGCCGCTGAGTATGCGTCACGTGACGCGCGCGTGCTGGCCCGGCGGCCCCGGATGCGGAAGTGGCGAGCGCCGCCGTGGGGGCTTCGCCGGGACGGTGCCGCCGCCGCCGCTGCTGCTGTTGAGGGACACGGGACAGGAGGTCAGGGCCCTGCGCTTGTCCCTTCCTCTGTGGCGGCTGGGAGGGACGGGGGAGCTGCCCTTAGGCCTGCCGCGGAAAGGCGGCCCTGGCAGTGCCGCTGTTGTCCCACGGCAGCCGGTGAGCGGCCCGTGGCGTCTCTCGGACGGTGTCCACTGCTCCCCTGTTGCTGGGGCTGCCGAGGTCCGCGCCCGGGGGGGGGAACTACTCCTTTATCCTGCTAACGCTGTTTTCAGCTGCGTGGTGGAGGGACGCGGCGTTACTGCAGCGGGGTTAGTGCCTGTGAGCGCCGGCCGGGAGTGCAGCGGGTTCATTCACACTCAGTTTCACCCGTGCAGGGCCCGGTGCGCCGTCAGGGCCTGCAGCTGTGTGCCCGCTTCTTCCAGCCTCAGTTCTAAGTTTGTTAAGATAAACTCTGCAAAACCTTCAGACTTTGGACGTGGGGTTCCCCCCCCCATGCCTTTGTAGCTTGCTAATTGAATCGACTTTCTGAGCAGCACATTTGAAACTCAGTGCTTTAGTCTGTTTGAAAGGCACTTTTAAGTCCTGCCTTTTGATTTGGTGTAAGAATAGTTATAAATAAAAGAGCTTATATTTTAACGAGGCTATAGTTTTATGAAGAAAACTGCATTCTCACTGATAATTTCCAGTTTAAACACACTTCCAAAAAGAGTAAATTGGAAAAGTAAAAGTCGTCCCTTGAAATATGCTTTATTTTAAATGAAAGTGGCAGGAAGAGATTAATGTTGTGGTTGATGCAGTTAAATGAATTCAGATGGGTGCTTCAGATGTGTTTGCTTGGCCTTTGTACCTCTGCTGGCTGCAGCTCTGCTGCTTTGGTGTGGAATCATCTGGCTGTGGACTCCAGTGCCTTTGAGACATGTGGAAAAAGATGTGTGAAGGGATGGAATGAAGAAAACAGAAGATGTAATAGGCAGTGGGCGTAACTCTGGGTATTCATGTTAATGCATTTAATGTAGGGTTCAGAATTTCTCCCTGAAATAGGAAAGAGACTTTAAGAGAGTGGTACTAGGAGGAGCGCTGGTAGGAGAGGTTGTAAAATTGTTGTAAACTACTAAACTTTTAGTTTGGCATTTATTAAACTTTGTAATGTGCCTGCTTTCAGGTGTGCCCTTGGCTGTGTGGTGGTACAACAGCCTGTGTTCACACGCAGAGTATAAAGAATGGTCTGTGTTTGCTTTCATTTCCATATTAGATATGCAAGATGTCTTCAACTGTTTTTACTCAAAGCAGCTGAGAAGAACTGGAATTCAAGATGAGAACTAACAAGGTGTACAAGCTCGTCATACATAAGAAGGGGTTCGGAGGCAGTGGTCAGTATCTCCTGGTTTGTAACAATGAGACCAGCACTCTCTTACTTCATTGAAAGCAGCTGATTTATTGGTCTTTCTAACAGAACAGTGGAGATGGGACTTTGGTGTTACCAGCCCGTTTGGAAAGCTCTTTTTTGGTAACAAGATACAGCAGAATAAAATTGCATTTGTCAGAACAGAATGTGATTGCACCTAGAAAATGAACTTGCTTTTTTCTACCTCTTCTCCTTTTGTTGCATCTTTTTTTTTAACCTTGTATTTCAGTCACCCCAATAAGTGACAGATATGTCAATGACCAGTGCCTGTGTGTAGGTGTGTTTCTGTGTACTAAGAACAATGTCATTTATTTGATTGCTCCCTACTAGACTCACAGCATGCTAACAGATCTCGTTAAGGTTCCTGTTAGGCTGTCTGCTTTCCTGCTGATGTGTGTTAGATGAGAAATGCAAGAGATGATCCTGCTTGCCTCATTAAGGCAGTCTTGTGTACAACACATCTTTTGTGAAAGTTCTGGGATTGGAAAGAGAAGTTTTTGCCCCCAGAGTGGCCAGACTGAAGTGACTGCTACTGCTGAACCCAGGACACCAGGGGCTCTGTTGTGTAGTGGATATAATGTGTTGCTGACCTGTTAATGCTGGGATGGTGTGGTTATGTGGAGTAAGCTATTGCATACGAACATGCAATTGTCTTTTTGGTATATATCTGTTCATTGCAGTTTTCCTCATTTGTTTATGTCTTGTAGATGATGAACTGGTGGTAAATCCTAAAGTATTTCTTCAAATCAAGCTGGGAGATGTTGTGGAAATTGCACATCCCAATGATGAGTACAGGTGAATTCTCTCTTTGCTGATATCAGTCAGGTGTGGTTAGAGCCCTGAAAGGGTGTGTTCATGTGCAGCAGTTTCTAGTGATGGGCTCTTAGAGCAGGGAGAACTTTGCTTCAGGGTGCTGCCATTTTCTGCTTGAAGAGAAGAGGATAACTACAGCAGGAGCTCTTTCTTAAAATTTATGGAGTTCTTTGTGTTTGGTGCTATTTTGCTGACCTTTCACAGGGCAGATAGCACCTGACTGTAGAATCTACAATGGCTTTGTCCTCTTCATAGATACGCTGATGCCTGGTTACTATTCTTTCATCCTATATTATATCCTAGGCAAAATTAAAACTTCCTGCTCGGCTATAAAAACATGAATAATCTTTACAGGAAGCTGTTCATCCTGCAGCCTGTATCTGAAAAGTAGCAGTTTACCTGTTTGAGATTCCAAGATGTTCATGTGTGACTTATTTCCCATTTAGAGTATCATCTTTACCTCAAGAGTACCTTATAACATGTAAGAAAAAAGATAGATGATGTATGAAGCTTTCTAGGAAATATTCGTGTTTATGTTTAGCTTATGCCATGCTCCATGTTACTAAACAGTTTTGAGAGAGTGATTTGCCAGAGTAGACTGTTGGTATCTCAGCTTTCTACCTTTTTTTCTTGTTTGCATGCTAGTCCCCTGCTTCTACAAGTGAAGTCACTTAAGGAAGATTTGCAGAAAGGTAACTTTAAACTCATAGTACACAGTAAAATCAGTGACAAAGATTATATTATTGGTCTGTACCTGTGATTGACTAATGCATATATTTGAGCTCTGTAAGAAAATCAGTGCTTTGTCTCTTTAGGAATGGAGGGGTTCTAATTTTATCAGAAAATGAATAGCCAATTTTAAATCTGCTTTTGGTTAGGCAATATGTGGTTATGGTTTAAACAAAATTGGCTTTTTAGCTTGAAAGTTTTGTTTCTGCATTCTCTGCCTAGCTTTATACCTTTCCTTCTTGCAGGAATTAATTCAGCCTAAACTTTGAGTTTATCTTGCCTGCCTTGATTTTAGCAACTCTGAAATTGGTCCATAGCTGAAGGAAGCTGTCATCTTTTTCTAAGGCCCTAAGTGTTTCATGACAGTGTCACTGTGTTGCTTTTGTACTTTTAAACCACATGAAACCTTTTGGGAATGCTCACTACTTTATTGTCCTTTCTTATGTTTGTGACAGAAACTATAAGTGTGGATCAGACAGTTGCACAAGTGTTCCGACTGCGGCCATACCAGGATGTCCACGTGAATGTTGTTGACCCAAAGGTGTGTGGCTTTGCAGCTTTTTTCCCATCTGTTCCTTCACTTAGCTCAAATCAGAGTCCTGTGAGCTTCCATCTACAGTAGTATTGGGGAAGAAGAGTATATATTTTTATTGGAAAGTATTTAGGCTTCTTTCCTAAGAAAATGAGGCTTGGGCAGTTGAACTGTTTAAGTGTCTCTTTCTTCACTCCCTGCCATCCCTGCTCTCTTTCTGAAGTCTGGGGGCCAGCTTCAGCACAGCTTGATAGAAATTTAGAAATTTCAAAAACCTTTAAATTTTAGAAATTCAGGATAACCAGGCAGAGTAAAGAGAAACGTTTTGTAAGTGACCGAGTCAAAAGCAGAGTCATGGCGTGGGCATGCATTCTCTGACACCAGATTCCCTTGTAGGAGTGGTATCTCTTGTAAATGTTCTCGCTGCCAAAGAGCTTCAGTCAGAGCTTACCTTCAGCACAAGACCCAAATCTGCAGGAAACAAGGTTTCATTAATGCAGTGAACAACGGAAGTAACTTGTTTCACTTGTGCTTCTAGGTTGCACTGATACTTGTAGCACAGATTTAGTTCTTGGGCTTTTCTGGTCCCAGTGTACAGTGTCTTGCAGCTCTCAGTCATTCCAGGTACATGAATAACTTTGGCAGTTACTCTGAAGGGATTTCACTTTTATTTTGCATCCGTCAGGAGTATTGACTTGCTTTAGACCAGCTCTCCCTGTAACATTTGTTTCTTTCCAGAACAGACTGAAGGGCACTAGTTAGAAACAACCAGACAGCACTGTTTTTCTTCCATTTCCCAGGAGGTGACTTTGGACTTGGTGGAGCTGACCTTTAAAGATCAGTATATTGGGCGTGGGGATATGTGGCGACTGAAGAAAAGTTTGGTAAGACCTCTGTTGTGATAATATGTGGGGTGAAGGAGATCATGTACCTTTTTCTTTGCTTGCTGTAAAGGAAAATAAGCATTATACAAAGTATAGAACACTGAGGACAAGATCAGCAGCTCCTGAGGAACTTAAGCTGTAAATGGTACCTTGGAATTGGAGAAATAGATGTAAATGTATTGCAGAAAAATGTAATCCCATCATTTCCTACTTCATTGCCACACTGTGAATTACTGCTTTGGGCACTGAAAATGCTGTGAGAGTTTTTAGCTGATATTCTGAATTTTAATGCTTTACTATTTTTGGAAGGAACTGAATCCAAATGTTTCTCTAAGTAGAAGCATGTTGAAGTGTCGTCTCTCTGATAGTACCGCTTAATAAGCAACTCGTTTGTTTCAGCATCTCTAAAACAGTCTTTGGCTCTTCGAAGCACAGTGAATTAGACAGATGAACCCAATAAAAGTTTACATGTGATAAAAACTATTTTCTACTGCAGAGGTTCTGTAGGCTGAAGTAT